CCCCAAAACCCCAAAACCCCAAAACCCCAAAACCCCACCACTCTAAGTTGTTAGTAATTTACCTAGATGAATAAATTAAAAAAAGTAATGAAATAAAGCAATTTATTTATTTGGATAATATATAACTATCTTAATAGTCCATTCTTCATATTATATTCAAAATATAATGCAACCGGCACAGCAGGCATTCTTATTTTTGGAGTTTTCTTTTTTAATATTTTTTTAGTTTTTCCCCTACAAGCTCTCAATCTTGTTTTCTTTTGCTGAGTCATTTTATTCTATATTCCCTACTTATTTATTCTCATCTTATTTGACATCAGTGTTGTGGTCAGCCTAATTTTCAGCCACAATCTATTGTACTTCTTAAAGATCATCCTAATCCTTCTATGATTTGTCTTTGATCTTTACTTATATTTCATCCATATTAATCAAATCCTATAGTAATTAAGTAGCATCTTTCTAATCTCCTGACTTGAAAAACTTACTTGACTCGCCGAAATTCATAGAGTCTCCATTGTCTCCCTTTACCTAAGGCATGATGCTGTCTCCCTTCTGTTTATTCTATTAACCTCGCTTATCATAAAATTCCGATGGGCCAGATGCTCTTCCTCCACTTACCATTTCTTACAATCTTTAAACATCTGGATCATCATTGAAATCTGGCTTTATTTTTAGATCTTTTCCAACTAATTGAAATTTATCGAGAATAATTTCATTTGATTAGTCTCTGTCTAATTCAGAATTACTGGCTCTATTATTATCCTCTCCATCATCCATAAATGCTTTATCGTGATCTCTCTCAGACATTACTTAGTCTCCATCATTTCTATTCATATTCCCTCTAAGCTGTGATTTATTTTCATCATTTGCTTATTGATTCATGAAGTCTAGAGGGTTAAATGACTCCTCAGACTCTGCCTGAGATTTTAAGTTTTAAATATCACTGAAATCCCCTTCTATTTCTTGGTCAGGAGCTCTTTCAATATCATCACTGCCTTCTGAAGAGAAATCACAATCGTCCCTTTCATCATCGTCGTCATCTTTAACTATTTCTCCACGGCCTATGTCAAAGTCGCTATCATCTCTATCGTCATTGAAGTCACTGTCATCACGATCATCACTACTCTTTCCTCCCATGTTTGATATATTTTATTAGTTTTAATAAATTTATAAACAGATAAATTCTAAATATCGATCCAATTTATTATATTTCTGACTTATGGGGTTTTGGGGTTTTGGGGTTTTGGGGTTTTGGGG